TGAACGGAAAAACCTTTCAAGGATTACATTAATCTGTGCCCGTACAAAGCGTCTAAATTTCACAGTGGCTCTTACAGGAATAACACCAAAATTGTCTTGCACTCCACTAAGATATTGAACAATTGGGAGTTAACAAAATTTGAGGTAATTTCATCGTTAAATTGCAGTTTCTGCCAGTTATAGGAATTTAAGCGGTTGCAAAGTACTTGGAGAGATACCTGCTGTTCAGAAACTTCTAAAAATACAGTCACTAGCATCCATAGATCGCACAGGGAGGTAACGTAATGAGCCGTTTCGAAAACCGCATGGTTATGAGCAAAGAACTGATTGGGCAAAGACGAAAAATGATATTTTTGATGTGCGCGAATGCATTCTTAAAGGAAACTGAAAAAGAAACATTTTTGTGACAGTCAAGTGGAGAGGCATATTTTTTCGATTCGAGCGGATAAGCACATGTCAGGAAGAAGTTGGGAGGAACGAATGCCTTTCGCAGTAACGAGGGTTCTGTTCGCCGGGCGTTTCGGTCTGACGTTCCTACCCATAATTGGAGAAAACAGCTTAAGAGGGCAACTGACGCATAAAAAGACGCAAGTGCGATTTAAGCTCTGGACGGCATGACTTGCATTTTTAAGTGTCCTCTATTTGCTGGCCACTCCCATTATCTGTAAGAACTATGAAAGTAGTCAAACTCAAAAAATAACACCAGCGATAAGAAAAGATGCAATCTGTGTGCTGGCGCCGCTTTTATTATGAAAGTGAAGTTAAAAATAACAAGAGACTGTCTGGCCGTGATTGGGAGAGGCTTCGTTTGTCCACTTGCATTAATGACAAAAAAGAGGTTAACTGCGTGAAAAGTGAATGGTTATAGGAATTGACTTTTATGGGAATGAGATGCAGCCTCCGAAGAATCGTTTTGGTCGAACGGGTGCGAGATTGCGCTTTATTGCCATGCGAACACTGGCTTTGGCTTCAAAACAGCAACCAATGAATAAGCAAATAAAGACACCATGATGCACACTATCAGCGAATGAGCAGCCGATCTGAGTAAAATTCGACCGGTCACGGAAGACCACACTAAGAACGGTTTAAGATTAGTGTTAGGTGAATCAGATAACCTACTCTCCTACTGATAGTCAGGTTAACAATCAAACGATCATTAGTATCCCCAAGCAAGCTAAGTTTTTTCGTCGGTGGACAGAAATGGGATAGTGACGAAAATACAAACCAATAGTGCTCTGCAAATATTGAAAAATAACGATGCATAGATTCTATGTATACTTGCGGACATTAAGGTCAATTTTCTGAAACTGTCGACTTTCTTGGTTTAAAACGTAACAACCTATAATTGAAAATCAAAAGTGAAGTTTTAGTAATATTACCGGGAAAATTGGTGGACACTGAATAAAAAATCGGAGATATACCAAGCATCGAAGCGAGAGCATTATCCAACCAGCAGTTTAATACGGGGCGAGATGTGAGACTTTGAAGTCAAAGCAGATGTAATCCTGCTCGTGGTTTCAGAATCTCCCCTGTTTTCCCTCTCGACGGCAACACTGCCATCCGTTTTACATGATTTGTCCGCCTACTTGGGATCGGATGTCCGAACTGATGACTGTTGATCAACGTCCTTCATAAAATCCCAATGGAAGGCTCATTTTTGTCATGTACAATGAAACATCGCTTGGAGGGAGTTAATTAACAATGATAGAGGGGCGCTCACCGATCGTTCTTACGGAACTCACTCTTTGGGATTTGCCTTATTGGCTCTCTCTCTAGCCCAACCAGTAGACACACAGCGGCGCATGATATAGGCAGAATTTTATTGCCGACCAAGACAAGGGCGACTGGGATGGTTAATGGACACCCATCTACTGCAATGACATTCAAGTCATATACAGAGCCGCTCACAACGATCACTCATTATGGACTCCGACTTGTTCCCGGTCCATTAGAAGGTAGCGGCCAAACTCGGGTAAAGGTTTCGCCTGACCGAGGCCAACCTAGAGCCCTTTTCCTAACGGAGGGAATTTCTCTTGGAACCTCCTTTGACTGTAGACTATGGACCGCCAGTGCTGTGCGGGGCTTAATGTTCAGTCGAATGATGCGCCCTATTTCATGATCAGTAGTCTTGATCAGGTCTTCCGCCTGGACCGCGATCGAGGATGGGAAGGAATATGAGGTTGACTTGTCACCATTCTGAACCAGTAGAATCAAACTGGCATTTAATAACAGCAACAATAAAGACAACACTGACAGCCAATAGGTCTTGATGTACGTGTCATATAAGATCCCACAAGCGGAGCAGGCAAATTCATGTCCTACCGTTATTGTAGATGGACTAGAAATTACTGACTTTAAAAGTCATTGGAATGCCTCAGTACCTCATTTAAAGAAGCTCTGTTAATGTCTTGTAAAGATGCAGTATTTGGAGATGAGTCGAAATGCTCTTTCTGTCCCTTTAACTTAACTAACCTTCGATTCTTGGGACTCCCATTACATCAAAATTGCAAGTAAAATAAACAGGAAGCATGTCCACCGAAGCTCTTGCTTTTCGGGGCCATTTACATCACTCAGACTTTCAACACGCATCCGGAGTGTTTATGGAGAAAGCAAAATCAGGCACATTCCTACACTGACATGCTGCTACAAACTCTGTGGACATCGCTGCCTTCAGCAGACCTCGCTATTTAGAACCGAAATAGCTAAAAGAATCGGAGAACGGTAACACCGAAGGCTGGAACGGTGCTAGGAAAGGGTTCAAGACAGCATTTATTGGTTTGTGGACGGTCATCGACGACCGCACGACGGCGCAGTAGGCCAGTAGTACAAGCATTACGGTAGCATTTAGTACGCACATAGGTGAAAATCTCGTAAAAACACTGTTCACTTGATCTTTATGGAAGTTTCAAACTTCGAACCAAACGCTTCCTTCTGACAACGTACAAGAAGCATGGCAGTCTCATCACTAGGGCGGTTCTTTGCGTGTCCGTCAGCGGGGCAATCACGTGGATAGTGCGTGACCGATCTCATGAAATTCTTGGTGCACGAAAAGACAAACTGTCTCTGGCGGTCGTTCACTCGCCCTCCCCACTGCACAGCCTCATTCGCAGTGAGGTGCCGATCACGAGTCGGATAAGACAGAAGCCTGTCACTGAACCACGACATCTTCGGTCGGCGCATTGACCTGCCGCCCGCCTACCGAGCGTTGTGGAAATGGGCGTATCGCACAGCTGAAGATCATTGCCGATAACGGACGTTTGCACATCAAATAAATCGTGCGTTTTCGGTGCGAAAATCAACTGTCGCCGTTAGTCTAGATATTTATATGCATATGATGGAATACCGACAAAAAACGAGGAAGACTGAAATAGGCATTTATGGCTTATTACCGTCATCAGCCAGTCTTACCCAACCTCAAGTGTGAACCGTCTGGGATTCGAACCCGGGATCTTTGTTCATTGAGCCAAACGCTCTACCAATGAGTCACAGGCCTGTTGTCTTGTTGGTCGTAATCAGGAATATTAATTATGATGAAGTGACACCCACTTATCAAGCTACGGGATATGATCATCCCGTTGTGCAGACAGTCGCATAGCGACTAGTAAAATATTCACATGACTGCCTGCGAGGGTTCGAGATGGAGTCCCAAGGCACAGTGGGGCGAGCATATCCCGCAACTTGATCAGTGAGGGACTGTTCACCTACATACAGTGAGTGACTGATCTCAGGAAATGATGGTCGAACTTCTGGAACGCGTTTTTGATTAGGAATAATTACTTAGGTAAGGTTGTAATACTGATTATCATGCGGCACAGTTGTATAATATTTCGAACCTGCCAGGATGTCGGATTCTGAATGCACTTCTCTTTGACCACTCGCAGAAACCATACTCAGCAGAAATGACTACTTATGTAATAGGCATTTTTCACATTGATTTTCGATGGTCTCATAAATTCGAATGCACTTTATAGAAAACACGCACATAAACAAGCTTTAATTTGCTCCTTTGGTAAAAACGGATACTGTCTTCATATTTTATACACAAAGTTGTATATTTAGGTTTTAAAAAAGCTCCCCAATTCTCGAATAATTTTTAGCCTGATCTGCCATCGCATTAACGTTCAGCGATTTGAGTCTACAGGGTCCATGCTTTCCGCGTAAGGAAAATCATATATTCCTCTATGCCTTTAGGAAGATACTATACAGGGTTCATAAAATGTTTCAATGGATGTGGACTGTGTTGCACATCTCCCGAGGAGCATTGGTAATCAAACATGTGCGATCGCCGATCGCACGGTCCTAAAAAAATATTAAAACCTAAATATACACTTTCATCGAATATAAAAAATATAAAAACAATGCGATTTTCCGCCAAACGAGTGACAAAAAGCATATTTTTGTGCAGGTTTTCTGCAAAATATATTCGACGTCATAAGACCATCGAAAAGCAATGCGGAAAATGCATGCTACTTAAGTTGTCATTAATTACCGAGCGTGGTTTCTACAAGAGGTTGAAAAAGGATGTATTCAAAAGCCAACATCCTGGCAAGTCTGACACACTTTAGAACTTTGTTGCATGATAATAATTCTTACAACCTCACCTGAGTAATCCTTTCTAATCGAAAACGCATTTCAGAATTTCGGCCAATATTTCATGAGATTGGTCACGCTCTGTAAGCACGCATGGTTGTTTTACTGGGATCGAAATCGTACACTGTGCACTGAAATTCTACTTTAGGGCTACGTATAAGTTCTGGAACAAGAAATGTTGTCAGAAATATAATGTCATCTTTAAGCATGGACCTAACGACACATCCTTCGATGACGCGACCATTAGCTTTCTGCAGGTGCCGCTTACCTAATGTGTTGAATTGCACCTTCTTCTACTACTAGTCATTCCTTCACCACTGTGGGCATGTCCGCATACTTTTAGATAAAAACTTTCCAGAAGACTGCGAATCGAAAGAACGCGAAGCCCCACAACCAGCATATTTAAATACCTAGCTGACCTTTCTGAATATGTTATTATTCATAGCAATCACAACTATGCCACCACCACCACCACCACCACCACCACCACCACCACCACCACCACCATCACCACCACCACCACCACCATCATCATCATCATCATCATCACCACCATCATCATCAGCACGAGCAACAACAGCGTTGGAGGCAACTTAGAAATGTGACGACATGGTTGCTGAGGCCCTTTCACCTGTCCGCGTTGTACTCACACGTTCCGGCCCCCGGAGAGTACTGTTAATCGCTCCAGTAGCCATCGCTGTATCAAGGCAGAAGTGACGCCTAAAAACACCGATGCCCACGATGAGTTGATTCCGGCCCTCTCTCAATACAAAGACTCGTTCTTCACAAAGACTGGGAAACTTTAGATATCTGTCTGTTAACAAGAACAGCGCTATAAATATCACGTGCACCAACCCCGCCACCCCTTGCCCTCTAATTTGTTCGGAGTGTCGTCACGCCTCTACAGGCTTCTGACAACCTATCCTTTACAGCAGTACCAAGAAAGTACTAGCCATCTAGACTAGACATCGAAAATTGAAATAAGCCCGGTCGTCATCAGGTCACCGCCGAGACACACAAAACGTGGAGCCACTAATCGCGTGAGATTTAATTGTATATCTCAGCGCTCGAAACACCCCCACCGTTGACGAGAATGGACGGGCTCGTTGCGTAAGGGGTATGAATACATGCAAGTGCAAGAGCGCTTTGTTATGTCGAATAAAAAAGGAATATGAACACGCCTTTCAAGAAATGACTGCAAAAATATAAACATCTCAGCATCAGCTCAAGTCAATCTTTTATTGACGGAAAACATAATAGTTTATAGTAGCTTTGATGTGACTGAAAGAAGAACGTACCAACGAAGTTCCTGCGGAATTTCCAGAGAAAGGAGGCAGTAAGAAGCATATGGAACGAGTAGAAGTTTGTAAACAGGCCCCGAAAGTTTATTATGATACGCTTTGATGAAAGGAGAGCGTCCTTTTTAAACGAATTCGTATCTACCGGTTTTTTAAATCATAGAACTTCAAGCAAATTATAGAAGTCGTCAATTCGCATATGGATATTCTGACGTCAGCGCACTTGGAGACAGACCTTCAGCTGCCATCTGTCACTGGGTAGTGTGAACAGCTCGCGGGGGTGGGAAGTAATTTCGAAATTACATGAATAAGCGCAAGGCGGAGAATATATCTTAGAGATCACGTTATGTTTTGAGGAAAAATTGGGAGTGATATAAAAAAGTAAAAAATAAAAAAGAGTAGTTGAGTTTCAATTTACTACGGTAAAATGATGTTGACGACATGATTTAGTTAACTGCAAAAGTTTGGATCCCTCTTCCCGGCGTATGCTACCTTTTAAATGACGCAGTTTCAGGCAATTCGAGCTGTCCTAAGTAACTGGGAAACCTATTTTACACGGTTTTTGCTCACGCCCTCCAGATATTTGGTGATATTAAAAGGGTTAAGGATAGAGTATGTAGCCTTTTGGGTGATTTTTTAACATTCAGCTTATCATATCTAGGTAGGTGTGGTGTGGAGCCAAAGCAAAACGGGACGAGTGAGTCCCCTGGCACGATCGATAAGCGCTTCCCTGTCATTGTTAATATACTCGATCGTAACTGACAGGACAACGAGTCCGTGGCTCAGTGGTTAGGGCGTTGAACTTCAGGTCGCGGGATCGAGTCCCAGGTTTTGCACACCTCGGGATTAGGTGTGACTGATTGACGCCGGCTAGCAAACCAGAAATGGACATTTCAGTCCCCCTGTCTTTGTCGGTAGTGCTATTATGTGATTTATGACGGTTCGCCTAGCAAGAGGTCGGCGAAGAGGTCATATGGCACGGGGATTTTGATCTTCATTAGCGTTGGCGACGTAAAAATTGTCCGGATCGAGCTCAAGATTGGGGGTAGGGATACGGTTGGAGTTGGGGCTAGTATAAGTAGTTGGGTTATTCCTAGGGCTGAGGTTGTCAGGCTTGGGCTATGAGCTAGGGCTTAGGGCCTGGTATTTGGGCTTGGGTTAGGGATTTAAAGCCAAGAGTTAAGGTTGCGGTTACGCTCAAGTTTTCCTTAAATGCTTACGGGTTAAGGGCTAGGGTTACCTATTACAGCCATGGCCATGGCTAACTACGGTTTTCCCAGGAGGTTACGTACCATACACTTGTCCCATAGAGAGACTGCTTAAATGTAAAAAACCCTCGAGGCATGCGTCAACGCATTTTATGACTTGTCGCCTCTGTGTTTGCCCGAGGTACGCGCATTCAAACGTATGAGTGGATTCATAATCCTGCGCCGGGTGGGTGTCCATAATCTGTCACGTAGGCACGATTTTCGTATGACCGAGGGCTAACAGCTGGACCACAGCACCGACTACTTCATTAGGGCTTCGAAACTGGCCAGTCCGCTATTTTTCAATCCCATTCAATTAAGATCTTTGCCGCTCCAGAAATTTCTATTAGATACTGACTTTCTGATGGATCCGTCCGTTTGTCTGTAACTAAGGGCATTCAAGCATGCAAATTGGCTGTCTGCTTCCTTTTTCATTTTTAATTGCAGCCCTTCATCCAAGTCACTTTTTTGCGGAGGATGAACGACTGAAATCTTTTAGACTGCATTGAACGGAAAGAGGTAACTCGGAGCAAAAGGTGGCTCATAGGGGATTATCCCTCAGGAAGTCCTTATTTGTAACATTCTGGTCTACATTTGATTTCACATTTGGCGCAGTCATGCTAACCACAGTGTCTTATATGTTACTCTAAACATATATGCGCATTTAAGTGTCAGATTAATGTTTATTAATGGGGACTAAGGGAAGTTTCACTGAGAAATTATAAGCTAAAGTAAACATTTCAGGTTGTCTATCCAATACCGTTTACGAAAATGTCCCATTAGTGTTTTCCTCATTTTAACTGTGGCAAGCTGCTACCGCGTTTTTCAACTCAAAAACAATGTATTCAGTTGAGGATTCTGAGATTACATTGATTTATAAGTTGCAATTTCTGCAGTTTTACATATAAATCAAACTGCCTTTGTGTCATAAACACATAGCGACGGGTTAGAGTGGGAGCCCTAAACGTCAGTCAAATAAAATCATTGTTCTGACGATTGCATCTCCTTTGTCCCAATTGTCTCCTAAAACTCGCCTATTTTACTTCTACGGTTACTGTTAATTACGACCCAGTCACAACCTTCAAATAAGCCTGCTTCGCAGACCGTATCCGTTCCTTGGGACGTTTATCATTTCAAGATCATCAACTTCAACTTGTGATTCCCTTTGAGTAGAAGAAGCTTACGACAGTTTTGAAAGATTAACACTGAAAATCCGCTTAACGCACAACCCGTCAGACAACCGTTGGACGCATGACCACGAAACCTATTTCCAGCAAAAGGTCTGTTTAGTGGCAGCGACAGTACGCGATAGAATATTTACAATCCGCTCTAACCTAATTGAGCGCAGCTTTCAACTCCTGAAAGCGTGCCTGCAGAGCGGATGCAAGAGTAAAGCACTATCCGGAGAGGATTGGTAAAGTTGACCGCAGGATATCCGCTGTACGATATTAGCCTGACCCGAGTAGACTGGCCGATCGACCTGCTCCGCCAAAACCGGAAGACCTTCCGCTTCATTATGAGTGCGCATTAATTCCCCCGGTTTATGCAAATGTTCACTTATGAGCTAAAAAGAATTAATGCCAGCCCAGACAGTCGGGACAGCTGGTGTAGTCACAACTGAAGTCTATTTGCCGTTGGTCTTAGTCAGAATTCAAGCAACGTTGTAGAAAACCAGTGCCTTCTTTTGATAGGTAATTAAGCAGGGCTTGTTGTGAAAGACAGATTTTACGGTCAGATCCAACCATAGCATTTCGTATCACCTGATGTAAAGGTGTTTGTCGGCCAGGTGACGACCTTGGTTGTGGTGTAAAACTATCCGAAGTAAATGCATTTCCTGCAAGTCGGGCGTGCCTTTGGGCCACAAATAATCGATTTCATGTAGTCTACCTTGAATTTTTGTGTCTGTGCAGACGCGATTCACGCTAATGTGGCAGTCGACTTTGGTCATAATCCAGAATCATACTCAATAATTACATTAGTTAGATTTAATCGGCATTCCAGCACAAAATTTTAAATAACAACAATAATTTCACGATGGTAATCCTAGGTCGCTTTTCAAAAACAACTCTGGTAAGCCTGCTCAGGTTTAGCAATCGAAGAAAAAAGTTTAACTTTGTAAGATGAGGTACAAAAGGCACGTGGTTCTCTCGTAAATGAAAGATTCCTAAGAGACAAGAAATTCTTTCTTGTGATAAATTATGGAAATAACGTTTTTGGTTGTAAATTCAGACTGAGGTCCTTTATTGAAAAGCTCTCCGTATTAGCCGTCAGTCCGAGGTTTCAGGAAGTGCTGTGGTTTTGGACAATGGACATTTGACCAATAGCTGATAAACGGTAATAACCACAACTGGTCTCATATAGCGCATAGTACGGACGGCGTCTTAGGAAAAAATAAGTTTAGATGAACAACCGCAAACAGCTGTCCTTCGAGTTGCTGCAGGTAAGCAGAGTTTACAATACTTTGCTGCTATACCGGACGATGAGAAAGTTGGGTGAAGTGATCCTGTTTTTGGCTTTCTGATCATCCAACTAACAGGCCATTTTCAAGTGCTTCTGACTTCTTCCGCTGCTCTTTAAATCCAGTCCGTGTGGCAGCGAGGACAGGATGTTGTGCCCTCTGGCTTGACGTCACGACTGAGTCCTCCTCGTCCCTAAGAGCTCTGCCGACTCTTTCTATCTTGTGTTTAACATTCGTTGAATTGCGCCCATTAATAATTCATTTCGGTGCTTTGCGCTCTCTTCCCCTTCTCGCATGTGCGTCTTTCCGTCTTTTTCCGACTTTCCTTCCGACACTGCGTCTGATGTTTATCCGACACACAACAAGTATTACCATCTCAGCCTTTGCTCAGTGGCTTCTGACACAAACGAGACCTCCATAACGCGTTTGCTGCTGCAAAGAGCCTAGTGTCAAGTACTGACTCACTCATTTGGTGGTTAATCGTCAAGCTGAGTCCGTTTCCTGGTCTGTCGGCAGGTTTTTTGTCCGACTCTTCAGAGGTGTCGAAGATGAGACCGCAGCATCAGCAACTGCTGCTCAACATGAAAGAAATGTAACCTCTGAAAGGCAAATGATCTTTTTGAGACCCAATGATGCGAACAGTGCGATGCGATTTAGAGCACCGCCATAGGAGCTCTCAGTCATGTGCACAGAAAGCTCCTGGACTAATAGCAAGGAGTCTGCAGTTCGCTGTCTGGACAACGCCAACTACACCGTCGTGCCCGGCGATGTCCACCGTGTGCTTCACAGCAAAGTGAGGCAGGCGCCGTGACTTGGACGTGAGTTAGTTTTTAGTGTTAGTAGACTTGCGCGGCATCTGCTGCATTCTCTCCTCCCCACCTGGACCCGGTGTCATGACGTAGTCAAGAAGACCGGAAGCGGGAGAGGACGTAGGTGGTTGGCACGACCGGACCCTCACCTACAGTAGATGGGCTAACTCATGAAATGTCTACTGAAATTCCGAAATGAGTCCTTGTTTCGAAAGGATTAATTAAGTAGGGTTGTAGAACTACTCAGCCTGCAACATAATTCTATAATATTTCAGTTACCTCAGGATGACGGCTTTCGAATGAGCTTCCTTCCGGCTGCATGCAAAGACCATACTCTGTACAAAATGCCTATTTAAGTAGCATGCATTCTTCTCGTTGATTTTCGATGCTCCTGAAAGTCCAATTATACTTCATGGAAAGCATGCATAAAAATATTCATTCTGCTGATAGAAGCGAACAGGCGAGTCCCAGGTAGCAGTTCAGAATATGAAGATGCGATCACTGGGACAAGAAGTTTATTGGCCTGACGTTTCGGGTTCTCACTCGAACCCATCCTCAGAGACATTCGCAGATAGAGGTGAAGGTGGCACCAGGAGTGCAGTATTTATAGCACGTGGCTGCCGTGGGACCGTATGCGCACTGCAATTAAAAGTTCTCACAATCGCCGCTGGGGTCGTAATTGATGCAGCGGTGGCTTGGCGGTCCGAGTCCGAGTTGTTAATTGCCGCGATTTCGTCATCCGTGCTCGATGCTGGTGTGACGATTGCTCGGCAAACTGGCTCACTGTCACCGTGATAATTGCTCACCCGCGCCCTCCCCACGTGACTGATTCTCCTGCCCAGGGAAAATCGCAATACGGAATAGGCCACCGGGAGGTCATTGTGTTTGTTGATGGATTGCGGGCCTGAGAACCATGACTCGAGCAGCTCGCGGCTCACGCGGTTGTCACCCCTTGCGAGGATTTCGGCCTCTTGAAATTTGAAATTATGGCCGGGTCCCGTCGAGTGTGCCGCCACCTGAGAGTTAGCGTCTCCCCGCCTCACTGCTGATGCGTGCTCGGCAAGTCGCGTACGGAGTAATCTCCCAGGTTCTCCGACATAATTGCTTTGTCCGCAACTACACCAGATCCGGTAAACGACTCCAGACGTTTCCTGCCGTGGCAGCGGGTCTTTTTGGCCTCATTACTTGGCGTCCAATGGTTGCTTCCGGCCTGTGTGCAACCCCAACTCCAAGTGGAGTGAGAAGACGACTGACGGCTTCCGAGACGTTCTTCACGTACGGAAGAGCCCGCCAAAATTTGGGGCTAGTTGGATTTGGTCTCTGGTGTCCTTTTCGTATGCACTGGTTGACAAAGTTGCGCGGGTAGCCATTGGCTCTCATTACCCGTCGAAGATATTGTAATTCAGCAACCTTGTCTTCCATTTCACTGCAGTGCGTCTCAACACGCCGGTATAGCGCCCTTACGCAACTGCGTTTGTGACTGATCGGGTGGTTGCTATTGAAGTTCAGTATTTGCGTCGTATTTGTCGCTTTCCTGAACACTTTGGTTTTTAGGCCACCACAATCTTTGCGGCAGACGAGGACATCCAGGAAGGCAGCTGATTGTTTTCCTCCTCCTCCATCGTAAATTGAATGTCCGGGAAGACGGCGTTGACTTGTTCTTTGAAAGTCAGCACCTGATCCCGTTCGATGACGACGAAGGTGTCATCCACATACCGAGCCCAGAATTTCGGTCTGTGGTGTCGGAAAACCAGCGACTCCAGCCGTTGAAGGACCGCCTCGGCTATGAGTCGATTAGTCTTACTTAATTAATCTATTTGAAACGAAAACACATTTCGGAATTTCAGTAGACATTTCATGTGTTAGCCTACCTACTGTAGGCGTATCACCATCCCCCTCTGTTTCACAACAAACACTTGCCCGGGATTTTGACCACCGACAACAACATAAACGTGGATGACCGGGCAGCTATGCACACGGCCTGTATACCCAGCGGGAGCGTAAGCGCATTTACCGGCAGGGAACCAGGTGTCAGAGAACTGCCAGCGCACACCAGGCTGCGAATGCCATGGTTTGCCGACTATGGCACAGCAGAGGCTTACAATCCGTAAGACCCTGAACGAAAACTGCATGCTACACGACAATTCGACCGTCGTTTCCGACGATGTGAACCGTGTGCTCCACGGCAAGGCGAAGCAAACGTAGTGACCTGTGCGTGATCTAGTTTACAATAGTAGTGGACTTGCACGGAATCTACCGCACTCTCTCCTCCTCCGCCACCTGGGCCCCGGGTCAAGACAGAGACAAGGCGACCGGAGGCGGGGGAGGGCGCAAGTGGGTGGCACGGTTGAGCCCGCACAGTGGCGCTCCATTCCACATCCACTGGTCCACGGAGCAAATGACCGGGATGTTAACCAAGAACAAAAGTGAGAGAGGGGGGCTATTGGGATTCTAATGTGTCCGACGTACGCCGGCAAGTAGGTCTGCCGCCGCACCCCGTAATGTTGGCATTTGTTATGGTGCGCATTCCGATAACGCCTACCGGAATCTGATATGGCCCCCATGTTGGTCCAGCGCATCTACCACGCGGCCCGTTTGAGAGGCACTAATCAACAACAGTAACCCGATCAAAGCGGCATACTCCCCATGCTTAAAACCCAATGCAGCAGGGATGAGGGAAAAACAAAACGGCTGGATAACAGGAAATGCGGCAAAAATCAATGGAGATACCAACCGTGATTAAATGAAGAATTTCATCTCGGCCGTCAAAGGAGTCTTCGACCCCAAGACAAGAGCAGTTCACCCCTTCTCAGCTGGGTCGGAACCAACCTAAGGACAGCGCACTGGATCGCGTCACTACGGTTAATCCGATGAATCAATCGACTCCCACTAGCGAATACCGATAACGATATCGATCGGCCACCTTCCCTTAAAGAATCAACTGGAGCGGTGCAACAACTGTTGATCGGTAGGGCGCATGACCCTAACTCAATTCCAACTGACATTCACAAATATGACGCCTTCAGTTCAATAACAAAGTTAATTACCTGGTTGAGGAAATATGGTTGTAGAGACACTTTATGGAGGCCATCACCGGTTAATCGCACAAATGCAGCGGGAACCAGCAATACTTTGATAACAGCAGGGCGTTTCCCTGGATCCCGCCTAATCTTCTGAACCCACACCTGTATCAGGAACTTCTCCACGAAGATCAGTGCGAATTCGGCCGATAGTGCGTAACCATCGGCATAAGTTTCACCGTTCGACAACTATGAAAGAAGATTCGAGTGAAGATCAGACTATACACCTGACGAAGGCTTTGGGCACAGTGAGCGGATTTGGATTCCGGGGGATAGTGATGAAAGTTGGACGCCCGCAGTGGTCCATGCAAATGAGAAGCAACTACACGATGGGATGATGGCACGTGTTAGACCACATGTGCACACCTCGCTGAAATAGATCTGACGCACTTAAAACTGTGACAACACGCTCTCAGTCGTGGCTTGGAACCTTTACGACTGGGAGTTTATTGTCAATCTGCAATACGTCCAATTATTGTAACTTCTATGGTACGTCTCACTTCTGTGAGATGCTAATCTAGTTCATGATAAAGTTAGATGGTGACTGATTCGCGGCAGTCACTACATCAGACCATATCTGCAGTCGATTTTTACTTGGGCAGTCCGTAAGATGTAGTTATGTTGTGGTTAGGGGTTAGGGTAACTATTTCTCAACCGCCCAAAGTACAACCGTGCATCCCAGATATGTTTTTTTCATATAACCATTTTATCTCGTCGCCTGTGCGTTCTCCGGCCCCACCTGTAAAAACCCCTATCACCACCGGTCCCGTTTTATAGGTAGCTGGGGTTTGTTTACTTCAGGGAAATCTATATAACCACGTCTGACAGGACAATCTTTTGGTTTATAGGAAAAAGAAGAAAAAGTGCGCTCGATTCAACTTAGCCCAACGACTATTTTCTCATCAAAAAATCTGAGTGAATTTTGATTTTATCACTACGCAGCAGCTTGGAGCGACATTTTTCCGATAGTCAGTAAATATCCGGCGCAAAACCGGAATGGGAAGTGTATTAATCTGGAATTCAACAGATAAACGGTGCAAATACCCATGTACTGCTTACATAACTACAGCACAAACTGACAGTTGGCTCAAGGATGGGAGCTGTCATAAACTTCCGGATTCATTTTTGCGACAAATCCACTCAGTCCAACTCCCATGGCGCGTAAAGACAAAATCATCTGCAAAGTTGCAAAAATCACCAATCCATTTCTCATCATTGCAGAGTGACATGTCAGTCCTGGCTCGTAGTGGCAAAATATTATCGTTTTAATCGTAGAGGAAACAAAGGAGGACAGCGCTCACCTCCACCGCAAATGCGGCTCCTAGCACCGCTATCACCATACACACTATGACCGCGATTGTTGTCATGACGACCCCAGTCATTCTCGAAATCATCGTCATCACTATCATCACGGAAAATGCAGACATAGCCTACAAAAAGGAAAGGATGTGTGAGCCCACATGCTTGTAGTAATCACTCAAACTAATGTATATGTGATTTCACGTAGTTCACACTGCTTCTGCAGACGCCGATTCGCAATGGCCTAGTCGGTCAAATGCCAGTTTTCCTCACCGTGAGCGGAAAACCAATTCCCTGAACTCATATCTTCACCCGTCGGGAACGTATTTCCTGCCCAACCTTCACCTTATTCGATAGGACGCGAATACATAAAAAAATCGGCAGTAAGCACCATATCCTTACATCACCGAACTCAACAGACACACGTAATCCCACGTCGCCACGGGAGATACCCAACGAGTGTGTTTGACCACAAGAGATACACGGTGGTAGCTTATCATTCTGTACCAAGGCAGAACGAGCTGTACATGCCGTCCCGTCGTACATCCGTGTGGTATGACTCAGTCCATTATCGGAGTACCAACTTTTCGCGAAGTCTCAGGTGTACACTGACTAAACCAGTGGCATTGGGAAGGTCATAAACTTGATCCATCATTCCCCTCGCTACCGATAACTATTTCGCCAAACATGGTCGGTAAAAGTACGCATCACAATATACTGGGATTGGACTTTTAAGATCTTTTATAAGTAATTCTGTAACCGTCTTCTAGATATTCGCTAGTTGGCAGCAATTTGCAAAAACAACGTAGAACAAAATAGCTTTTTAGAGATGTTTTGGCAGATTTTGAATACTTCATATTGAGCCAAATGCGAAAAACTCGGCGCCTCGGTGGGATTTGAACCCCCGACAGAAAGGAGGAGGCTTTAGTAAAGCCAATGCTCTAACCACCTGAGTTACAAGGCCCCGCCGGACGACGTAAGTTTACTCACATTTGGGTCAAGTTACCCACCCAATAATTATTAGAGATGAAGAAGTATTAAAAATTACTAAAAATTAGGAGCATTTAAGGCCTCACTTTTGACCCAAGAACAGCCATTTGACCATTGCCTTCTTCTTCTTTCCGAAGTAAAGGTCCAGAAAGGCATAATTGTGGCAATTTTTTGATCTCACTCGGTGACGGTGTAGAGATCAATCGCATCCCAGCCAAGAGGTTCTGTGTGTGATTTCCAAACATTGTAGCCATAAGTGTGCAAGCCTTGTCCTTTGTAAAGCCAGAAATTGCTCACAATCTCTTTGCTGGATTTCTAACAAAACTGCAGGACTTCGGTAATTTGGTTATTCCTGGTTTCGTTTGATTCGATGGATGATTCGGATGATCCGGTATGTTGTATCAGGGAGAAATAAGGTGAATGAGAAACAATATGCACATGTTCTTAAATGGAGTAAGTTGATGGCGAGAGCGCATTTCAGTAGAGTATTTGCTACAACCTTTTGCGGTTGATCACGCAAACAAGAACGCCCTCATAATACGAGTCAGTCTATACTAAATAGCAAGGAAATTAACGTAAGGGATAACGTTGGGTTTAGGATTAAAGGTCGGATTAGGGTTCCGTTTCAAGTTTGGGTTAGGGTTAGCGTCACGGCGTGGGAATAGGCAACTTCTCTGGGTTTTAGCATAGTCGTACGTATTAGGGAGAAGACGCCTACTCTCTTATTTAAGCGGTACTTCCCAGGGGAAATAGGATGCAGTATGCCGTAAATCCAGTGTCATTTTAGTCTAAATAATGCCGCAAAGCATTATACAGTTTGTCGAACCTGTGAGGCATTTTATTTAAGATATTTTCTTTGTTATTCAATATACAAGCGCAAATAAATCCTGCACTAGTGTGTTAAACGTCACCTACCTGCGCGTTTATTGGCCATTTCCTATCATCTTGAGCAGGCTTAAGACGGCTAGCACATCTAACTGGCCATTTCGCTGAATGGTTCTCATTTAACTGCTGCTCATCGAAGGCGCAGACACCCCGCGCTGAAAGGTGGATAATTTTCAATCATAATTTGTGCTGGACTGTCAAAATAGACACTTCCATATGAATGCACCCATTTTCAATTACATTTCACTAGGAATGACGGATAGAATGGGGATGTGACAAACCAAGACTAAGCGCAAGAGACCGGCCAAAGAGATCGTCTTCTCGAAGAAGTTTAGGTTAAAGTTTATAATTCCCTAAAGAAGTATGTGTAAACCTGCAGAAAATGCTTGGGCATAAATCTTTTTAGATTTCTTCCTAATTTCATTAGCTTCAGCGAAATGACGACGTAAGGTCCGCAAATGGATAAAAGGCAACACTGCTATCAGGTAGCATTTAAATACTCTGTGGTTTATTATCTCCGACGTGATAGCCGTTGAAGTATCCAAACAATTGTTTCATCTAGTTTGTGGGGCTGAATTTCACAACTGCGAGGACTTCGAGTGCGCAGCGCGTCCTAAACCATGGCCCATGGTCTTTCTCCAGTTTTCACGTAACAAGGTTTGTAAACAGAGCGGAGGGACGACAGAGAATGAGAATAGACTGATACAGTACCTTTTCAAGCTTACTTTGCCTTTATCCAGCCAATCATAACCCTGACTAGCGGCTGGGACTAGAAACACAAATATGCTCACAGACACACCTGGCGTAGCTGGTCCACCACTGTAGTCTACCAGATGGGTCATAAGCACTTCATCGAACCGAAGTTCATCAGTATCTCGCCACCTGTCATTTTCTTTCGCCGCAGATCGGGTATTTGTGCAATCAGGAATGGGCGCACACCGATCTCTTGACTTCCCGAAGCAAACAAGCTTCGAATGGGTGGCAAAGGTCTCGATCACGCAATTAACTACCATACCGAAGTCGACCAAGTCAAATTAGCAGGAAGGGGGGAGGACAGAGGATGTGGGTAGATTGATACAGTGTCGTTTCGGGCATAATTTGCCTTCATTCAACCAATCACAAACCTGGCTACCGCCGAGACCGGAAACACGAACATATACTCGTACACGGAGCAGACAGTCCACAGGCGGGATCTAAAAGATGAAACATCTTTGGGTTAGATGCGGATAGGTAGCCGCACCTGAGGTTAACAAACCCCAGCCACCTGTAATACGGGACCGGTGGTAATAGGGTTTTTACAGGTGGGGCTGGGGAACGCACAGACGAAGAGATCGAGTAAGCGTTTGCCAAAGAAAAACTATTGGGAAGGTGTCGTTTTACTTCGAGTGGTTAAGAAGTAGTAGCCGTAACCCTAACCCCAACCCCTGACCCCAATCCCTAGCCATAACCCCTAATCCTTAACCTAACCCTACCTCTCTAACCCTAACCCTAACCCTGACCCTAACACTTAACCGCAGCCCTGAACCCTAGCCATGAAACATAGAACGCGGAAGTAAGGAGGAGACGACAGGCCGAAAGTCAAGAAGGACCACCGGCATTGGGCCAAAATAGGTAGATACGGCAACAAAGAAATAAGTCCGCCAACATAATGCACACGGCAACGCACGGCAACACCATGTCAACCTAATCACATCAACCCAAAATAAGTAGGTGGATCAACATCATTGCGTCCATCAGGTGCGGCTATATAACCACATCTTACCCATATTTGTGTTACTGACGCCAGCTGACACTCGGCGTCATGGTTGACAGATTGGTCCCGAAACAGTATTTGCATTCACGGTCGTTCCTCCTCTCTGTCATTATAACTCGATCGACTTCGGTCTGGCAAGTGGTTGCCTGCTCGTGATCTCTGCCAACCGCAAAGAACTTGTTTGTTTCGTGAAGTCAGTAGATCAATGTGCGCGAATTCCAGGTTTTTGAGTGTTTGCAAATTGTGGACAGTCCCAGGGGTCTTCATTTTACTACTGTAGCGTCTAAACAACTTTCTCGCGAATGCGTTAGCTGAATTTGAACACCTGCGGGCGGCAGCTGAAAGTAGTCAACTGACAAGCCTTGACAAATGCACGTTTGCGTTAGAAGGTCGTTTATGGAATTGACTACGGTGGATAGATATGATGCCGTCATTCCTGGGTTACTTCATCAAACAAAAGCCGTAGTGAACTGCTCAGCGAATATTGAATTGATGATATCTCAGTGCTTATTAGCAAAAGGCTGCCGCATACTGTGCAAATTACCGGGGATTAAAGCTGTGCCTAAATAGACAGAAAAAGTAGACCAAAGAGGATTCTAATCTGGTCGAAGTCACATCATTGGATATGTCCGTTGTTTCTTGCTAGTTTGTTATCAGCCGAATCTGATTTCGATGACTGGGATACCTTTATCCCCCCTATCTTGGCGTTTGCGTTATGTAGTCCACTATGGTTTTGTGTCGACAATACCAGGTTTATGGAATTTTTTAAAAACGCGAGTGTTTTTCACCATTTTGCCGTTTTTTGAATTCACCATTTCTTTAAATTAAAAATATGGATTTTTCCACCGGCTGGATTTCCTCAAGCAAAGGGTTCTGTGTATAGCAAGCACGTCCCGTCGGCGGATCCGTTTTGCACACTGACACGGTGCGCCTTACCTTTCACAACAACATTTTGCGGCACTGTAGGTGGATAAGTTTTACTCTCGCAGCAAATTCAACGAAACTAGATGACGTACGGTATAGGGCAAAACACATCAATCATGAAAGAAGCAGGTTCTCCAGAAAGTCGATTTGTTTTCGTGAATTTTCAAGCTGGTCATACCAACCCGTTGTCAGACGAAATGAATAGTAGGGAGTAATGGGATAATCGCACTAGAGCGCTCGGCGGTTTTGACCTAACATTGACAGAACACACGTCCGTGGCGTGTCTAGATAGGTGGGGAAGTTGGGTGGGGGCGGGTTGAGGGTTTTAGCTATGCCTCATGGTGTCGAGGAGGCACGGAATCCGAAGTATTCTACATGGTTGAACATGAACGAGCAGTTGTTCTTTTAGGGTGGCGGAAGTCAGTTAGCCGCAAACGTAAGACTTCGTGATGGGCACCCAGGTTGACATGGCGGTAAAGGCTGTTGCTGTTGAGGTGTCAAGTTTCGAAAAATTCCTGCGCCTGTTTGGTGTCAGCAGTGGAGATCACGCCAGCCCCGTCACAATCGAAGAAGTGATCACACTCAAGGGCGTGGACAAACACATAGGACAGGGAGTCACGTCGGCGGATGGTCGGCATGTGTTAGCTAACGGGTTTCAAGTGATTGGCCGGTATGCCCGACATAAACCCAAGCACAGGTGGAACATGGAATGTGGTAAATGAAATTGGTTTGCTGATCTCTTGGTATAAGGTATTTTGCTCGGGATAATTCTGTGCGCAGGTAAGATGCCGGCTTGTGGGGCGATAGAGATGCCAAACTGATTTAACTGTCGGGAAAGTGCTTCGGAAATTCTTGGCAGGTAGGGCAGTGAGTAGAATTTCCGTGACACCCTGTCTCCCGCCAGACTTGCTTGAACCACGTTTTCATATACAGTTTATGACATCTGGTTTAACCGTTAATATTCCTGACTTTTATTATGGGGAGGATGAACAATTTAATCAAAAAAGAAACATTTGTAAGAAGTGTCGCTCTTTTGTTTTTGTTTGAAGAATATGCCGCTGAAAATTATTGTTAACTTGTGAAAGCTTTTGGATAAAACTTTTCACTCTAAAAGAACATACAGGAAATGTTTTTAATTTTTTAGAAGCCACAATTTCGACAAAAAAGGCATAAAATGTTCACAGCAGTCGACAAAATTTGAAAGCTATGGATAAAAACCGTTGAATGATCAAAATTCATACCAAACACCTTAGCAATGTCAGAATTATCAAAATTGCTGGATCCTCTGGTAGAAAATATTATGCTGCATTGAAAACGGTACGAAAAAATGTTTAGTATCAAATGAATTCGACGAATGATAATAAGAAGGGCTTAAATCCGCACGTAAAATATCGTTTCATGCCAGTCATGTTTGCATCAGATCGTGACTGGTGACGACACATTAACCACTTACGATAAGTCTAAACATAAAACCCTGAACCACCCCTGGCCAAAGCAGAATATTCATGGAGACAAAGTTAGGCCGTTTATCTGGTGGGACCAAAATGGAACGATGTATTGTGAATGGTTGAAGTCATCTGAAAATGCTGTTGCAGAACAATATCCACAACGAATAATCAGCCTGAATCGATATTTTAACATAAAAAAGCCTGAATATGATTAAAGACATGACAAAGTGATTTTGCAACGTGATAACGCTAGACCACATGCTACAAAAGAACGCGTTAAGGACACGTTGGAAGGAATTTGCCGGGAAGTTCTATCTCATCCGCCGAATTCAACAGACATTGTTCTAACAGGTCCGACTGATGTAACCTGCCGCTGCTGAGCAGTGCTTCGCTTCCTATTGAGAAGTCCAAAATTAACCGATGATACCCATTCAAATGTTTAAAAGGTCAAATAAGGCATGCGTGCACCCTTGAGTATTCGTCATCAGGTCTGTACAGTAATATAAGGAGGGATAGCGTAGCGTTTGAACAAACGCTAAGGCCCCCCTGGGCAAAGACAAGCCCAGCATGAATGTTCAGAACTATCACAGCGATAAAACTTGGCCAATTACAGTAGATGTGCTAACCAAAATTTCGAAATGTGTTCTCGTTTCGAAAAGATAAATTAAGTAATGTTGTAAAACTTATCACGATGCAGCATAAATCTATGATGACCCAGTTACCTCAGGGTGTCGGCCTTCGAAATAACATATTTTCGGCCGCATGCAAGATCTATACTCTGCAAAAATGACTTCTTAAGTAGCATGCAATTTTCTCATTGATTTTCGATGCCCTTGAATATTCAATTATATTTCATGGAAAAATGCATAAAAATATTCATTCTTTCACCTATTCGGTAGAAAATCACGTCTTCTTCCAAGTTCA